AGAAACTCAGAGCATCATGGGGCCCCCCAGCAGCCTAGGCCTATAGCAGCATAACAAAGGGAGGGCTCAGGGTCACCCAGCCCGAACTATAAGCTTTATCAAAAAGGAACGTCTTAAGTCCAATCTTAAAGGTAGAAAGGGTGTCCGCCTCCCGAACTGAGACTGGGAGTTGGTTTCATAGGAGAGGAGCTTGATAGTTAAAGGCTCTGCCTCCCATTCTGGTTCTGTGGACTCTAGGAACCACAAGTAAACCTGCACTCTGAGAGCAAAGTGCTCTGTTAGGATGATAAGGCTCTACGAGGTCTTTAAGATACGATGGAGCCTTGTCATTAACATTACTCTGGCTGCAGCATTTTGGATTAGCTGGAGGCTTTTTAGGGAATTATTGGGATATACTTATAGTAAAGAGTTACAGTAGTCCAGCCTGGAAGTAACAAATGCATGGACCAGTTTTTCAGCATCACTTTGAGACAGGATGCTCCTGATTTTTGCAATATTGCGCAGGTGAAAGAAGGCAGATCTAGAGACTTGGTTTATGTGTGATTTAAAGGACATATTCTGATCAAAGATGACTCCAAGGTTCCTCACAGTAGTACTGGAGGCAAGAGCTATGTCATCTAAAGTAACTATATGATTAGACAGCAGATTTTTAAGGTTTTCAGGCCCAAGCACAATAACTTCAGTTTTGTCAGAGTTTAGAAGTAAGAAGTAGCAGGTCATCCAGGCCTTTATGTCTTTAAGACATGCTTGAAGTACAGTATAACAACTGAACATTATTTAATTTCCTATTTTTTATCAAACACTTTGACATTTATGCTGCATTTTTTTTCTTTATGTCTGATCATTCTCTTTGTGTTCTGTTGTCTCTCCTGACCATCTGAACTAATGATGTGCACCACATGGTACCGATCAATTTGGACCCACAGATTAAATATATTACACCCCTGTGTGCTGGTGTGTGTTTCTTCACACATACTGACTCTGATACTGAAATGGTTAAAAAAAAAAAGAAATACTCTCATTGTGACACCCTAAAATTTCAGTGATTTACAAGTGATGTCTTGTTCAATTACCTTTTTCATATCAACACTTCACTCGCACTCTCTCTCTCTCTCTCTCTCTCTCATTCACACACACATTCACTTGTCAAACTTTGCTGCACCTCTCACTACACCTGAGAGACCTAGGTAACAAGGTTTATGGCTAAAGGTAAAGAAGGGGTGGTGAATGGAATAGCTGAGATGAGGAGCAAAACTGTATGGAGGTAAAAACTGAGAATTGAGGGAGGAGCTGTGAATGAAGCCCATTTAGGACTTGATTATTGATCATTGATTAATAATCAAACTGTGTAATGTTTAAATTCATTTTATATAATTTTGAAGATCCACTGAATCATGACAAATAAGAATCCATAACAATGTCATAACAGCATTTTCCCCACAGTAATTCAACCATCAGCCTGGTTGTGAAGCTTTCACAGCTGTTGTAACAAACCCCTGGAACAAGACATGGATGTATATGTGGATTCGAAGAATAATGGTGCACAAAAACAGAAACATGCATTCACAATATGTGCATTAGATTTATAAACATCTGCAAAGCTATACAGTCACAGTCATCCAATTTCCACATGAATTCATAAAAGAATGCTAGCACACCCTAATTTAGTCTTTGTCTGGATATAAACCAGACTCAGGCTGTCCCTGGTTTTGCACTGGCAACCTCATCTTACAGTCCCAAAGTGATTTGAGCTATGTGAGTGAGTCATTTTGTGATTGGTGGCTGCCAGATATCCATTCTATTTAGAAAGTGGCACAGTCATTCTTTTTGTGCATGATGATGCCTTATGTACCCCAGGGTTTTGGTATTTAGAGTTCCATTCCAGAGACATTTTAATACCCTGCTATAAAAAAATATATAGTCTAATAGTTTTTCCTCAAAATTAGGTGAATCCTCCCCTGTGGACCAGCGCCTATTGTCCTGGTGGGCATGTTTGGGCAGAGATCTCAAAACAGAGTTGTAAATGGATGACAAGTTGTGTCTTAGTCCACCACCCCTATTTAGTGAGGGGTGTTCTATTTGAACAAAAATAGCTTCCTTAACTCCTCTCTCAAACCAGTGATGTTCTCTGGAGAGGATCTGGACTTCACTGTCCTTGAAAGAATGTCATTTGTCCTTCAGGTGGAGGTGAACTGCTGATTCTGGTCTACTGGGGTTGACCCTCCTGTGTTTGTGCAGCTGCTGCTTAGTTTCACCAATGTACAAGTCGTTACACTCCTGACTACACTCGATTGCATATAACACATCATTCTGTTTATGTCTGGATGTTTTGTCCTTCAGGTGGACCAGTCTTTGCAGCAGGGTGTTCCCTGACTTAAAGTTGACTGGGATATTGTGTTTGCGAAAGATCTTTTTTAAACTTCTCTGATAAACCAGCCACATTAGGGATAACAGTGTTATCCCCTCTTGTTTCTGGTTTCTCCTTGTTGGTGTTGGGCCTCTTCCTGGCTTTGGTGAAGGCCCACTTGGGCTATCCACAAGCCTTAAGGGCAGAACTGATGAGGCCTTTTGGATGAGAGGTGAAACGTTCCAAGGACACTTCCAACACGTGGACTGCAGGCACCGAGATTCGAATCTCCGACCTGAGTTGGGAGACATTCTAACAGCATTATATATCTCATCTGGCCCGGGAACACCCCGGAATCCTGCCTGAGGAGCTGGCTAACAGCAGCACTCAGGTTGCTACCAGAAGCCAAAATTGTAGCTAACGAGTTGTGAATAACAGTACGTGCCTCACACCATTTCAGTGTTAAACAGTAATTATATACATTGTGTAAAGAAACTCTAGGGTCCGGTTTACATCCAAAAACTGCACACACTGGCATATTTACTGTCAACGGTCAACCTTAGTGAACACTCACTCCTAACACTCAAAAGTTAACTCTGGCTGATCCCAGGTCAGAGGTTTTAAGTATCTGGTTTCATGAAGCATGGTTGAACTTTGTATGTGCATAGTGAGCTACGATTGGCTTTCCGATTTGTCTCATCACAAATTTGATTTGCCCGAGGATGTTTGAAATCAGGATTTCTAGGAAGTGGACTAACACTGCCCCCTTCAACAGAATAACATGAAAATACCCTGTTAGTGACAAACTGTGTGCATACACCAGTCAGTACAGTAGAAGTCTGACATTTTAAGGCATATAAACATTTTAAAAAACATGTTTTGAGTTTAGGGTGTCTTTAAGGGTAAAAGACTATAACCTGAAAATCTTTCCCATTCCAAAATGGTTTTAGCAGAAGGGGTGTGAGCAGCTGTATATGACACTGTCCACTCTGCACATTCAACAGCTAGAGGGGAAAAAGCCCATTCATTTCATTTCCTGAAGTGATAGTTCCTAATCACAACTGAAGGGAGGCAGCTTTGTGGTAGAAGGCTGGACACACACTCACACTATTCATTCCACAAACTCAGTCTAGTGGTGGGCTCTGCAGACTTCCTGGGGACTCACAGATTAGCCTTGGCCAAAGCCACTAATCCCCTCATACACCTATGCACACACACACACACACACCTTTGTACAGCTATCTTTGTGAGGACTATAACTGACATAATGTCCTAATTGTAACCATCACAACTAAATGCTTAACCCAGACCTAACCTTGACCCTAAAACCAAGTCCAAACCCTCAAACAGCTCTTTGTAGGAGTGGCCAAAATGCCCTCATTCCCATGGTATAAAACACAAACTGGTCTTCATACTGTTGGCCATACAAGTGCATACACACAAACACACACCAAACCAAAATTCAGTCAGTACCCCTGCCCTGTGCTGGCCGCACACAGTCTCATTCAAATGAGTCCCTGAAAGGTGATGGGGGATCTACTTCAAAAAAGAAATGAGGGATGGAAACAGTGAGGGGGGTTGTCTCCAGAGGGTTTACTGAAACCTCCCAGCTCTACCTTTAACCCCCGTTCTTTCTGCAGGAACCCACAAATAGAACAAACTTTTACATGCTTTCTGAATTTTGTTAGCGTCTGCTGCATCGGCAAAGTCAGTGATCCAGATTTTAATGTTCTTTCATGGCAGGGGAGGGTTAACTCCTCCACTTGTGTGGGCACACTAGTAGTAAAAGACATGGGCAAGCAAAAGAAGTCTACATGTTTGTTCAAAACATCATCTATGGCTTATCTGTATTTATCCACTTACCCAGTACATACAGTGTTTTCCCATCTGCCACCTGGTGAAGAGTTGGAAATTTTATTTAAAATAAAAATGAGTAAAGACAGAGTTAGAGTGAGGGCAAAGCTGAAACTAAGTAGAAATTACAGCTTTTCTGGAGGGTTACCTGTTAGATACACCTACAAACACAATGACCACATTGTACAGGAATTTATTGGAGTGAAATTTTAATGCACAGCTACACTCAGTACCTACTTAAAATCTATCAACAGTATGTCATAGGCCATTTACCCATGTCATGATACAGCACCAGACAGTGAAGCACCTGCAGTGTGTTTATAGCAGTGAAAGTATGAATAGCTTTATCCAATAAAATAGACGTGTGCTTGCAAATCATTCAAGAAATGTAATACTAAATGGAATGCACCACACTAAATTAACCACAGAGCCATTCAGTGTCACTTGCACTTCACCCAGGTTTAACAACATGTAATCACTCCCTGGCCACAACTTTACCACAAGTATCTGATGGTTTCACAACGACTAAGCTAACTGCGCTGTAACTAAGACGAGGTCACAAGGCCGGAGGTTAAAACCACACTGGCTCCTACTGGGAGATTGGGTTTCCTAAGGTGTGTGTGATTTGCTACTTCAACACACCGTTCAGCACAGTCTTCTCCTGCTGACCACCAGCTCAATATCCTGTGTGGATCCATATGTTGCTTCAGAGATGTCTGCTTCTTTTCTTCTCTCTGTATATATACAAAAGCGTTCTTTTTATTCACTTTGTTTTACCTTATTACCTATTGCATTAGTTTTTTTTTTCTTGTTCTCTCTTTCTCAGTGTCACTTTCTTTACAATAGGATTTTCTGTTTGTCCACTTTTGCACTCAGTCCATCAAACAATGCTGATCTTAGATCCCCAAATGCTGGGGGGAAACCCAGCAGCCAACTAAAAACTAAAACACAAATTCTTTAAAACAAAAAGATGGAGAGAGAGAGAGAGCTGGTCCACTTTTAAAGGATTATGGGTTTTAGCCCCTAAAGAAAGAAAGAGATACCATCCCAAATTGAAAGGATTAGCTTTCTGCCTTGGAAAATGGATGATGGCCTAGAAGAAAAAAGAGGCTGACCTGAGGGTTGAGGTTTAATGACAGGATTATGTTCATTTTGCTTCAGGATTATTATTACATTGAACCTCTTTTGTAGCCTGTAGGTGGTCGGTTATCAAATCTGAGCCCAATACAATTGCACTCTCCATATAAATTATTTCGTAAACTTGTGAAATTACTCAGAAAATTGCAAGAACTTTGTTTTAAGTGAAAATTCAACCTTACAGATAAACAGTAAAGCACCTCCACAGGGATGAGGTCAGGTGACAGTACACCTGTGGCGCCTGTCTTATGAGGAGCGGTGTGCTTGAAACATCTCTCACTGGGAGCTTTCTGTGTAAAACTTTATTCTCAGGTTCAGACCAGCACATTAATTTTTTTAATGTGTTTTTATTCCATGAACTTTTGGCTATAAAGACACTGTACTGTACTTCTTTTAGTGCTACTTAAAAGACTGTATACTCTGCTAGCTGACAGTGAATGGAGTCATGTTTGTGATCTTGCTGGGGAGGCAAAAAGTTGAGGAAGAAGAATAATGGTAGAATGGAAAAGAAGGATGAGGAAGGAGAATATAAAGACAGCAGGAGGCCTCTTGGTATCCATGGAAGTAAATAATGAGAATCTCATGACATAGGGCCTCCAGGAAAGTGTCCCACTTTTCTCTGTACACCTCCTCCCTTTCTCTTCTTCCTTTTATTTCCATCCACCCCTCCTCTTCTTCTCTTTTCCCTGTTGTTTTCATCCATGCTCCTCATAGCCAACTCTCTTTTCTCTTCCAAAATCCTTCCTGCCTTTTTCTCAAACGGCAGCACACATAAGTATGGATTATTCTTAGTGTGATTTACATATAAAAAGTCCCTTTTTAAATCCCTCTAGGAGCAGATCCAAGAAAGTCTTTAATGATTAAACAGAGATTATTGAAATGTCTGCCTTTTGACTCACTCCTGTGTGGAATGTTGTAAATTAAAAGCAAATCTGTGACACAAATTAGCTTTTCTATTTGTGGCTCTGTGGCAAAATAAATACTGCATTTCCTCAGTGTGACCCTTAGGCCTATATCATTATTTATATGGTACTGTTAATTTCCAGTATATCTATGCAGCAAAAACTGACATAGAAAATGTCCTGTTGATCTTGAGCTACTTATTTGCTGCAAGCACAATATAAAAGTTTACAGCTGCACACTCAACAGACCACAAAACCACAAAATCTCTTTCCAGCTCACTGTGGTTTAAGCATCAACTGCTGCTTATGTTGAATTTAAATTGTGTGTATTTTATGGCTCCACTGGACACCATAACAAAACCAGGGAATGCAGCATTTAAATGAAAGAGAAAGAAGGAAAAGGAGGAAGAGAAAGAGACAGAAGCAGAAAAGAGGGGAGGAGAAGGAAGAAGTAGAGGATGAAGACCAAAACAATGATGAAGAAGAAGAAAAGGAAGATGGGAAAGCAGAGGAGGAGGAATAACATTTTGATTTGAAGCAGTTGTAAATAATTTTGACCACAAGGAGGCAGAGAAAACTTCAAAACAAAGACATAATAAATAGCTAGCTTATCAGGTTAAAGGCGTGAGTAACCATCTGGTTAATGTGAAGCAGAAATTTTCAATATAGAGAATGTTAAGTTGATGTCACATTGAATTTTAGGTAAGTGCACCATGTTTGGAGCATAACAATGATTATCAATCATAGATATGTACACAACATATATGCATAAGTTAATTAACAAAATAATACTATCCCATGCTTCAACTAAACCAAAACATCCACTTTAGTGCTCAGTTTGATCACAGACAGGACAGAAATCAATTCATCTGCAGTGTTTGTGTCATCTGCCAGCAGCTGCTAAATATCATTAGCTCCCGAATCGAGAGCTCAGATCAGTGTGCAGAGTCATTTTGCAATCTGTTGTGCTCTTACATGGGATCTCTACAGTAGGTCCATTCCAAGTCAGCTAAGGTTAACCATCAAGTACCACAGTCAGAACAGTGAGATCTACTGTTATCTCATGTGAGAGCGAGAGTGCTCGCACAGAGTTATACAGGGCAGGGCCGCTTTGGTTTTGATGGTTCAGATCATCAAATAAAGTGCTAAAAGCAGCTGCAAAGTAAAATGTGAGATTTCAGTTATTTTCTCAGTACTTTGGGTGAGGTTAGTGTGAGGGCACAGTCTGCCTCCTTCATCCTGTTAGACAGTTACTAAGGCTGGAATCAGAAGAGGAAGAACTCAAACTTTCAAAAGTCACGTAAGTTCGTTTTTTCTGAACAATTCACATTTATGGTTGCTATACCCATCTGAAATCCATTCATTATCTATACTGCTTATCCTAACAAGGGTCGCGTACCCCTCTGAAATTACTTACTAAAATGCATTATGAAATCTGCTCATAAAGGGAGCATGAAGGCTGTTTGTTAATTTAGGTGTCAACTCAAACTAGCTCCCAAAACCTGCTCTGCCCATTACACCCCCCCCCCCCCGATTTCATTCTCTTCTCTCCCCAGAGCCTTAAGTCTCTCTCTTCTTCTTCGACTACTCTCTAAACCTCCTCAGCCCCCTAACCCCTCACCCCCAGATCCCTCCACTATAAAATTCTTTTAGGCTGTTTAGGTGATGATAATACTGGGGACTCTCTCTCTCTCTTTGTGTAGGTCTCCCCTGAATGTATTCCCAACTCTGTGGGTGTATGTATGTCTTTATTGTTATGTGTGCGTCCATGTGTGCTGATGACATCTTGTGCTTATTTAAGATTGTTTATATACTATTGGATTTAGTCAAACCATCGGCTGACTCTACATAATCCTTTCGGAAACATCCCCAGACCTACAAATCTGTGTATATGTGTGTGGTGACCATAATGGATGTGTCTTCGCTTTTGGGTCAGCAGGGGGTAATCCCCAACTCTAGAACAAGGATAATCAGACCCATCACTACGAGTGCAATCCTTCAAGAACACAAAGAAACACAGACTCTTATACAAGTCTGGAGCCTGATGCCCGCAGCTTACTGTACCTTACTGCTTGCACAGTTCCTCTATGCAATATTTAAAACTGGTCCTGTGTGAAGAAAAGTTTGTTCTGTCCAATAATCTATAGCAAACAACAGCAATGTGCACCGCTAACTTCAGTGACAAATACGAAATCTTTCCTGTAGTTGCTTCACAATAAAAGTCTTCATGTGATTTGCTTTGTGCCATATGGAACAAGTACAGTTCTATAGAGAGTGAGCCTCCTGCTGTAAGTGGTGAAAATCAACACACACAGTACCTTTCAACTACTTTGATTTAACTTCAAACTTGACAAAACTCACCAAGTCGATGGGCTGATGACCACAGTTTTATATACCACATAAAGTAGTAGTAATAGAAGTAGTGGTATATCGTTAACCTTTTTTTTTTTTTTTTTTTAACCACTGCATTGATATAGACAAGACACACACAGTAAAAGCCTTTCTCTTGTTTGTGGGTGTGTGCACCCATTAGTAACATTTCTAATGAAGTTTATTCTTTGTCTAGTATTGTGACAGCTGTCATTATTTCCACATCACTCTACCATACTCTACTGTCACTACACATTACAAGCTACACACACACACATATATATACATTTACAGCACATGCAGTGTCCTCATACGCAAAAACAAGAATTTGCACTTTCAGTAAATAGCCTTCATTCACAGACGCTCCACCTTTCATGCCATACAGCATGCACACATCCTTAGAGATGGTCCCATCATGACCTGCTGCACACATACATTCTTCATCCCCCTCTCTCATCACCTCTACAACTGAACCCAACTTTGTTCAGTGTATATATGTTTTAACCACACTCTCCCCTGCTGAGTGACAAATCTCTCTGCCAAAGAAGCAATCCATCAAGACTGCGCACACACACACACACACACACACACACACACAAATCCACTGTGCATTATGAAGATTGAATATCACAGTAGCCTCAGATGATCCAAATCACTTCTCATCCTGAATTCTTCTACAAATGTGCAACAGATACACAGATCACA